ACGCTTCTATAAACCAACGTCTGAATGATGTCTGGTGTTTGGGGGAAGTGGTTGCGCAATTTTAGATGAGTGTCCGAACGTCTAGTGAATAAAAAAATCAACATATTCTCATTATCAGTTCGTATGAAATTGTACGAAAAGTTATGCACACTATTTCGTACGTTTTGGACGTTTTTCCTAAAAAAAAACAGACCAGTGCGCATGTGCAGGTAGACAGACAAAAAAAGCAGATCCGCGGACGGACGTAAAAATGGGAAAAACAGTGCAATATTTACTTCTTCATGTCTCTAACTATGTTACTTGCTGTTTTATACCTTAGGGTTAGGGTCAGGGTTAGGGTTAATTGTATGTTAAATTCGAAGTTATTAAATGGTGCGTAAGATGCGCATACGACGAAAAAAACGTGCAAAACGTACGAAATTACGTTGCATAACTTTTCGGACGATTTCATACGAACTCATAATGAGAATACACTGAAAAAATTGTGGAATCTAAATTTTTACCTTGAAAAGTAACGATCATCCACAGTCACTAGACCATTGTGGGTTTCGTTGTTGCGGGGACAAATAACAAAGATGGCGCAGGAATCATGCGTGGAGGCGGAGTCACATGGTTGTGATTATCTGTCCGAACAGTCAGTTAACTATATAGTCCCTGTCGCTACCTGATCCGCATCCCGGAAGCACGTCCTGCGCGTGTGCCAACAGAATAACCTCCGGGTAGGCAATACTTCGTTTTTCTGACTTTTTTATTATTATATATATTGGTTTTTTCATATATATCGCATATTCTAAAACAGAAAAACAGCAATATACTTAAATAGCCTTTCGAACGTTACTGTGACTGCTCTGAACGTGTTTGATGATGACGTCACGCAATACATTGGCGAGAATGTCAAACGTATATATTTCTTCCAGAAAAGTCTTCAATATTTTCCACATGATGTAGTTTAGCATTCTTTAATGTTTTAAGTATATAAAAAAAAGTATTTTAAGTATCGTTATTGCATAGCTTTCGGGGACTCCGATCTTTTTGTTCTGTTCGCGGATGCGCAGGAACGATGGCGCTTCCAGGACGTATCGGGTAGTGGCAGTCCCCCCTCAATATAGTGATGATTTAGGGGTTAGGGCAAATAGTCGCAGTTAGCTTGTCACAGGTACGATGCAAATATTTTTGATTTATGCCCAATANACCTCCGGGTAGGCAATACGTCGTTTTTCTGACTTTTTTATTATTATATATATTGGTTTTTTCATATATATCGCATATTCTAAAACAGAAAAACATCAATAAACTTAAATAGCCTTTCGAACGTTACTGTGACTGCTCTGAACGTGTTTGATGATGACGTCACGCAATACATTGGCGAGAATGTCAAACGTATATATTTCTTCCAGAAAAGTCTTCAATATTTTCCACATGATGTAGTTTAGCATTCTTTAATGTTTTAAGTATATAAAAAAAAGTATTTTAAGTATCGTTATTGCATAGCTTTCGGGGACTCCGATCTTTTTGTTCTGTTAGCGGATGCGCAGGAACGATGGCGCTTCCAGGACGTATCGGGTAGTGGCAGTCCCCCCTCAATATAGTGATGGAGGGATTTAGGGGTTAGGGCAATTAGTCGCAGTTAGCTTGTCGCAGGTACGATGCAGATATTTTTTGATTTATGCCCAATATTGAAGCGTAGTCTGTGCCATGTCATTCCACACCACAACGCCAGAGGGACAATCATGAACTGGTGTTCCCCAAAGACTGGCACTACAACCAGAGCTCCTGCCATTAGGTACTAAACAGGAAAAACGAATAGTGTAGAGCGGATGTAGAATTGACCAATCAGAGGTCTCCTGCCTGAGGTGCAGCAGAGTGTCTGCGAAAGGGGGGACTTATATCTGCATTAACTGCGACACTGGTTCCTGAGTATAAACCAGGCTTAAATGTGCGGTTCCATCAAACGTTTTGATTCCAGTCGCAGGTGAAGTAAATTCCTATTATTTTGCTCATCTTATGATTCCTAGTAAATATAGTGTCTGTAATACTCAACATAAATCAGCTTGAGTTTTATATCCTGTGTCCTAGTATTGAGGGGCGGAAAGCAAAGTTAACTCTTTAATGTTTAGACGAGCATCAGCTAATCAGTATCATTTATCAATATTGTTTGTCTTAAAGGAATTTCATCTTTTACTTCAAACATTTTCTCAAAAGTTCATCTAATTTCTCCTAAGTTGTGGTTTGTTATCCCTACTGTATTATTTCTTTATACTTTTAGATGATGTTGCCTTCTGTGCAGCATTTCTAAGCATGGTTCAGGTTATCCTCCTTTCATGTTATGCTAATTAAAATTCCCCAGACAAATGATCAAAACCCGGCTTAGATTGTTTCAGTAAAACATCTTTACAACATTGCTTATTGTAATTGTTTAAGATTACACTAATTGTCATGACTCTAGACTTTTTGGTTCTGTTTAAGTTTTCTTTTTGAGTTTTCAGTTATACTTTGTCTTTCTGTGTTTTTTAGTTTGTTGGTTTTATTTCAATTTTGTCTTATTCTAGTTGTTGTTGATTGAATTTAAGTTTTAGGTATTCCTTTGTTGCCCTCTGCTGCTCTTTTGTATCAGTCTCATTTTCCCTAGCTCCCTTCTAGTTCCTTCTGTCCACACCTGCTCCCAATCTGCTGATTAGCCTGCTCTTTGTTCATTCTCCTATTTATACACCTCATGTTCAGTCACTCTTTGCTGGAACTTGTTGTTTTGTTGCTCCCCTTGTGTGTTTTCCCTGAGTTTTTTTTATTTTTTTTTATTTTAGTACTTTTGGATAGTTTCCCCTGTTTGCCTCTGGAACTTTATTAAATCTTCAAAACTCAACACTGCATTTGGATCTTCAAAAATCTCAGCTTAACCTTGGCACTAATCTGTTTCCTTCTCTTACTTTTACATAGATGCTGATATTTTATACTTAGCTTTTGTTTAGAAAGTCTCTCAATGTGGGTCCTTTAAATTGCATACGTTATCTGTGGATTTACACTAATCTGTTTTTGATCATTCACTCAGAGTTTTTTTCATTGTGTATAATAATCTGGGGGTTCAGTTTAGTTCTCAGTCCCATCCTGGTCCTGTCTGATGGTGGTTGACCCTTAAATCGGCCCATCATTGCCTATGGCCCCTTTCTTTGCCTCTCTGCGTCATCTGAGGCAGATGGCGTCCTCTCACCACCTCAATGTCTGCATATCAGCAGCTTCACACCTTGCATACTTATTAAATCCAGGACTAAAAACCAGAGCTGTCAACTAACAAACAACACATACTTCTTTACGTTGCTTAAGTGGAAATGTTGTCTATCTATACTTTTCTGGAGTAACTATTTTTTTAGACTTTTAAACTTTATCCTTCTAATTCTTACATTTTAAAAATAGACTCATTAGTTTTGTTTCATTTAAGCTCATTTTCATTCTGGTCTGTTGGTATTAAAAAATAATAATAATAATAAAAATCATCAAAATAATTAGTTTAATCCAGACAATTAATTTTTTTATGGTTGGACTTGGTTCAAGATGATGCATAGTTAAATGTGACGCTGTTACCATTAGTTATAAAACTAAGGAAATCTAAGGAAGTTATCTTCCAGAATTGTAGGAAAATGTTCCTTTGATAAGGTAGAGCAGTAAAGCTTCTGGCATTAACAGTTTTTCCTGCATTACTTTGACTTTTATACTTTAAGTAGTTTTAAAAATGTTGACACCTCTGCTACAAATGACTGTGTTCCCTCTGTAGTGAGTTCCATCCGGTGTCTCTCCAAACCGTCCTTAGTTCATATTTTCTGACACAAACAAAAGTAACAACCAATATTATCACATCCTCCTTGTTTAGAGCATAAATGCTTGTCAGACAAAGAGGAGAAAGACAGACACACAAACTATATTACAGACAAACATCAGGGGCATTTTGCAATTCAACCCAATGGCTTGAGTTCCATTCTATTCAGTTTATTTCTATAGCTCCAATTCACATCATGTCATCTCAGGTCACTTTCCAGTTCACCAGATCATCC